CTCACTCTGGATCATGAGGCAGCAAGGAGCAGTGGAAAGGCCTCCGGTGCATGAGTCAAGTGCATGGCAGGGAACATGATCTGCAGCAGATCAGCTGTCCTCTCTGGCCCTCAGTTTCCCCTCATTAAAATGAGGATCCTGAACCAGGACTTTCCAAAATTGAAAGCACATGTATATACAAGGATGCGATTTTCTTGGTTTTCCTTGTGCCATGAACTATACTGTGTCCCCTCAATATTCATATGTTGAAGCTCTAACCCCCAATGTGACTGTATATGAGACAAGGGTTTTAGGAGGGTAATTAAGGGTAAATGAAGTTATAAGGGTGGAGTTCTAATCCAATAGGATTGGTGGCCTTCTACGAGGAGACAGAGATCTAGCCATGTAAGGACACAGTGAGAGTCTACAAACCAGAAAGAGATCTCTCTCACCAGACCCTGAGCACACTGGCACCCTGATCACAGACTTCCTGCCTCCAGACTAAGAAAATAAATTTCTGTTGTTGAAACCACCCAGTCACCAGCATTTTGTATGGCAGCCCCAACAGACTAACACACCTTGGATCCTAGAAAGGGTCCATGACCCCATAAAAGGGTTAAGATATGCCCTGGCCAGTTTTGCTCAGCGGTTAGAACATCAGCCCGCGGACCAGAGTTGTGGGTTCGATTCCAGTCAAGGGCATGTACCTTAGTTGTGATTTGATCTCTGGTCCTGGTTGGGGTTGTGCGGGAGGCAACCAATGCCAATCAATATGTCTCTCTCACATTGATTCTCTCTCTCTCTCTCTCTCTCTCTCTACCCCTCGCTCCCACTTTATCTGAAGATCAATGGAAAAATATCCGCGGGTGAGGATTAAAAAAAAAAGGAGGGTTAAGATCCAAGAGCCCTGGGGAGCTCTAGGGTCTTTCCTGGAACTGGCCAGCTGGCCAACTGAGGTTGGGATGGCCATGCTTCTACTCACCCATCTTCATGAGTGTCCAGTTGCTGTCCATCTGCTTGGCAGCCTGGAGAAAGTAGCGCCCGTCGGTCCACATGGCTGCATGGTCTTCTGTGATAATGGCTGTGCCTGGAGTAAGGGAGCAAAGAAATGAGAAAGGATTCTGACAGCCACCCAAAAGCTGCACAAAATGAAAGCAGATGGGCAAGCACAGTGCAAGCTCCAGCTCCTATGTGGCCCAGCCACCCACCATCACTCCAGTGGGGCAGGCTGGCCTCTGACTCCAGGGCAGCCTCCAGGCAAAAGAGACCCAGCCACCCACCATCACTCCAGTGGGGCAGGCTGGCCTCTGACTCCAGGGCAGCCTCCAGGCAAGAGAAGGCAAAGCTACTGAGAACCAGCTGTGAGCCAGGCTCTGGACACTGGTCCCTGCACAGAAGGGCCAACCTGTGCATTATGATTCAAGGCCAGCAGAACAAAGGACTATGGATCTAAGGCCAAAATGGCCTCATAATCCCCAAGAAAGATGTGAAAACGGTTCTTGCTAGTGATCCCAGTAATCTGCTCCGCCAACCACCCCAAAGGAGGTGTCACCTTTCCTGAGCGAGACCTACGGGACCCTGTGAGTGTTAGTGATGACTCAGTGGGAGTTCATGCCTCCCACCTCTACCTGCCCTCGGTTCCCACAGAACTGGCGGAACTCGGGGTTTTCGGCAGAGGAGTCAGCCAAAACCAATCCTAAGTGCAACCAACATAAGCACTTACATCAAAGGAAGCAGCAGGCTAACTCCAAGGAGAGAGGGGCTCTCGCCAAATCTAGCTTAGGGATGTGAGTCTGGTGGGAAACACCCTAAAACTCAAGGCACAACAGCCTGGGGAAAGTTAGGGCAGGGCACCAATGGAGCTCAGCACTGACCTTTGTTATTCAAGCCGAAAGTGCAGAGAGAGAAATCAAAAGCCAACCAAGTGTAGACTTAAGCAGGACCAGTAAGCTGAGGTGGCAGCGCTGGGGGACAGTAGGTCCCATTAATTATTATGTGCAGTGTGAGTTGCTCAGGTATATTCAGTTTAATTAATATGAGTTTCCGTGTTTCTGTTATATTCAATAGAAAGTTCAAAAACATTTTAAATTTAATTATCAGGCTTTATTCACTTTATTTGTCTTGTATAAAATGTGGTGGCCAGAGCTGGAGCCTGGGTCCTCTGCACAGAAACTCGGGTGGGGGTCTTTACAGGATGGTCAGTGAGTTCCTGATAGGGAGACTTGGTGAAGAGTCTCTTTCCAGAGATCGGGAGATAACTGTAGGTCATAGGAATGGCTTTTTAAAAGCCAAGGCATAGAGAAAGGGGTCACTAAAAGGGGACCTCAGGGATCAGGAGGATGCTGGGAACTCACACTTTTCTGCAGGAGCTCGATGGAGAATGTCTGGTTTGCATTTTCCTTTTGGTGCTATATCACAGGCTGAAACCTGTTCCAGTTATTTTTGGAAGGCAAACAAAAGTACAGAAAGAACACAGAGAGAATTTAGTGACTCACCTGCAGAGCCATCAAATCCAGAGACGAAGGCCCGCCGACAGTCACAGGGAGCAATGTACTCACTCTGCAAAACAAAAGGATGAGGAACTGGACCTCAACCAGTCACAAGCTGGCACCACCGTGCTCAGCCCTGTGCGAGGCCCAGCAGAGGCTACAAAAGCTGGTGAATCCTTGGCACCTGCCTTCAAGGAACAGACAGTCTAGCTTAAAAGGGCAGCTGAACACTAAAAAAAATTTTGTGCACAATGCAGAAGACCCTAATTATTTAAGGGCTCAAAGAGCTTTTCCCAGTAGCCTCTGTTTCGTCATCTCAAGAACAAAACAGGTCAAGAGAAACAGATCAAAATGGCTCTTTGCTCACTGAGATCTCATGCAGAAAACAACCAACAGCCCTTGTTCGCCACTGACATTTCGGCATGTTATTTTTCTGAAAAGTAAGGCTGAATTTCTGTTTTCAGTGCCAGTAATTCTCTAATTTAAGTCTCTCTATTAGCTTGTTTCTGAACTTCCTGTTTGTGTCCCGTTCTAGGTATTGTCACCAATCACTCCCATGCAGACATACGCTGTCCCTTCCTGTTAGGGAAAGAGGGGAAACGCTTCCTCCAACCCCGGAGGCTTTAGCAAAATAAAAAGTCATGTCCAGATGCAGATCCTTCCCAGATGATAAACCCCTTGCCTCTGAACGGGAGGGGGTTAGGGACTAAAAAAAGTAAGAGGATCTCATTCCTGGGCAGAGCATGTGAGGCCACAGTGTGCAACTTCTGGTAACAGTAACTTGCCTGAAGTCACACAGCTAGTAAGTAGCTAGTAAGTAGAGGCAGGATTTGAACCTGGGCTGTCAGCTCCAGAGCCTGGACTCTGAAGCCTATGCCTTGCTGCCCCCATATTACATATCGTCTCATCCTCATAACGACTCTCCAGGAAAAGACCAAAAGCTAATGAGAAAACAGAGGCTCGAAGACTGAATCTTTAAGTAACCTGCCCACTGCAGGTAGGGGAGGGCCAGGGTCTGCTGCAGACCAGAGCTGCTGCCCCTTCTCCTGTTATCAGGTTTCTCCAGAGCAGAAGTGCCTGGCAGGGTTAAGAATGCTTAGGGTCGAAAATGGGACTTCTGGCTGGACCCCAAGGCATTTTAGGTGGTCCACATGGTGTAGGGAGAAAGGTGCCCGTGTTCCACTCCTGCTGTGTGGGTGAGGGTTTCCCTTTTCACCAAGGCAGCCACAATCACATCCTCAAACCAGCCACGAGACCACTACCCATGGAGGTGCGAGAAGAGCCAGCAGAGGCTCGTGACGGCAGGATGAGGGGCTCCGAGCCACACTGCCCTCTACCAGCCCAGCTCGGTGGTGCAGCAAGTCCCACCGCCTGTCCGGGCTTCCATTCCTCATCTCCACAAGGGTCATCTCAGATGGCTAAATGCAACAGCAGGCACATGTTTTATCCCAAAAACATAACGTTAAACCTCATAGATAGCACTAAGGCCATAGAAAGAAATGGAGGTCAACAGTAGGAACTGTAGAATCCTCATTTGTTTATTTACCCAGTAATCACTGGTGCAAAACTAAAAAAAAAAGGCAAAAATGGGTGGAGAGAGAAGTCTCATCATTCTCCTAGGACTGTTGTGAGGAACAGTAAATTAACGTTTAAAACAACTTGCCAGAAACCTGAGAATGCTGTATATTCGCAGTGGAAGAGGTATTATTATTTTTTATTTATTTTTCTTTATTGCTTTTAGAGAGAGGAAGGGACAGGGAGAGAAACATCGACAAAAGAGAACATTGATTGGCCCCCTCCTGCACGCCCCGCTCTGGGGATCAGGCCTATAACCTGGGCACGTGCCCTGACTGGGAATTAACTGGTGACCTCTTGGTGCATGGGTCTGAACTCCACCACTGAGCCACACCAGCTGGGCAAAGGAAGAGGTATTACAAATTTCTGCTTCCGGAATCAGTGGAAAAGCACCTAAGAGGCTGAGAAAACTAAGTTAACAAAAATAACTCTTACATTAAAAATCACAGTGCATAATAGGAAAGACAGGACATTCTCGACCGACAAGGAGTCTGCTGCCCCTGGCTTGGGGTTCTTCCACCTGTGACACACAGTGAGAACACTGACGAAGGCCTGGCAGAGAAGGTACTGCTGATCTTGGCCCAGCTGGACTCTTCCACAAGAGACCAAATCTGGAGGACACCCCTGTCCTGTCTGGGCAAGCCTCAGAGGAGGGCTTACCTAGAGGTACTCGTCAGCAGAGGCAGGAAGGTTTCTCCAAAGGAAGGTGAGATAGTAACAGCAGGTGGACACATTTGGTTTGGGATCAAGATGAGGTCTGGGGCAAGAACATCTAGACGTGACCTTAAGTGGTCAACATGCCAGAAGGACATTGCTTACCAAGGCTGTCACCTCCACACCAACAGGCTAAACAGAGGCCAGACAAGCACTGGGCCCAGGCCTCCTACTCTTCCCCCAGCCATGAAGCTGGCAAAGCTCAGGAACATTCTCCCTTGAGAGCAGCAAAAGGTCTAAACAGTGCTCGCTTCGACAGCACATGTACTAAAACTAGAACGACACAGAGATTAGCATGGCCCCTGCGCAAGGATGATAGGCAAATTCATGAAGTGTTCTATAAAAAAAAGGTCTAAATGAGCCAAAGCCATAGCAGCTAGGAGAAGGTCACAGCAGCACAGCTATTGGCTTCTTTCCCAAAACCATCCAATTCTCTCCATCTCTAATATTATTCAGTCCAGGCCTCCACCACCTCCACCTGGACCACTGCCCCTCCAATCCACTCTTCACACACACTCAGAGTGAGCTTTTCAAAATGATGACCCACTTTACCCTTCAGAGCTCTAGAACTGTAAGAGAATAAATTTGTGTTATTTCAGACACTAAGTTTGTGGTGACTTGTTACAGCAGCAACAGGAAACTAAATACTTTATCCAACAGGAAAAGGACCAGAAGGGAGTATAACTGGAGTTTCAAATGTCTTAGGGTACAGGCAGGTAAAGCAGGACAAGGGGGTGTCTTTTCTGATTCCTGTTGTGCCTAAATGCAGGCATGTTATCAACCATCAACATTTCAGGAGAAGACAAAGATGTGTGCTTATGGGAGATCACCCGATTTTTAAATGTTGGCATCTAATTCAAACAATGTAAATAATATGCAGCCAAATAAAGCACATCTGTAAACTATGGGGGCTTCTTAGCCACCTCTCAAAATCCAGCCCAAATGCACTATCTTCCACAAAGCTTTCTGACCTACCCAGTTGTCAGCAATCTTCCACACTGATGATTTTACAGGACCACCCACGTTGGCATTTACCCATGCCCTGCCTTAAGTGACAATAACAGATAATATTGCCTAAGATTTACTACCTACCTACTAGTTACCAACAACTATATTCATTTCCTCCATTTCCTCTCATTCTAATCCCAAAAACAGCTCTGGAAGGTATTATCCTCCCCATTTACAGATTTTTCTTAAAAATCAAAGCTCAGAGAAGTAAATTATTTCTCCAAGGACCCACTACTCCGAGTGGCAGAGCTGATATCTGAGCTCAGGTCTGACTTTCTAAAGCCCATGCCATTGCCACTCTGTCAAACCACCTCTTATATTGTGTACAGAGACTGTGCACAACTAGATTATAAACTCAGGAAACAAGGCACAGGGCCTGCCCTGCACTGAACTCTACCTTCATCAACCACCTAACAGATGCCTCCTACACCCAGAAGACACACCTATGTTCAAGCCTGCCTCCCCCGCTTGGTAGTTGGGTAAACCTTGGGCTCAACTTCATCTGTTGATGATAAAAATGCTCTCGCTGGTGGGATGAAATGTCACATAAAGCAACCGGCACCTGCTAAGCGCTTATAACTACTCAACAGGCGATGTACTAGACTCTATTGGAAACCTATTGAAGTATCTTCTCGGAGTGGACAATCTGGCCAGCAAAATAAGACAGATATGCATGAAATATCAGCCCTAATAAACAGCCATATAAACCAAGCTGGATATGCAACAAGTTATTTGCTATAGTTTCCAGGACTCTCAGATCTGCCATGAATCCATAGGCCAAGCTCAGAGGTTTGACCAGGGCCACTGTGAGGAGAAGCAAAAAGCCACTCAGGGAGGGGGACAGATTCAAGAAGGCCTAGAAGGAAGAGCTCTGAGAGAGAGAGAGAGAGAGAGAGAGAGAGAGAGAGCGCGCCGATTAGCCTGGCTGCTAGGGCGGAAAGTTCGAGGGAATGGCAGCAGAGAAACCTGGAAAGGGAGGCTGAAGACAATGGCCAAGGACCTCAAACATTACACTAAGAGACTTGAACTTTAACCTACAAGTTCTGGAGAGAGACTGAAAGTTCAAGACGGTGCTGACATGATAAAAGCTGGGTTTTAAGAAGTGCAGTCAACATGGCCAGATGCAGATGGAATGGGGTAAGCAAGGCTGATCGCTGAGTGGTGAGATAAGCAAAACTAAAGTTATTTGGGCCCACACTGGGGTGATGATATCTTTCCCCCAACCCAACCCTTCACCCTCATAAGCCATGAGTCTGTCATAGTGCCTCAGACATACTAGGTTCTAAAACCAAATAAGTAAATGGCTATGTGTCCATAGGAAGTTCCAGAGGTTAGATTGTGAATGGAGACAAGGGCTACCTGTCCCCAAATACTAAGGTAACTTCCAATATTGGGCATTTTCTTCTCTCTTAAATGAAACCAAGTCAAAGTCTACGGGGAAAACAGCTCCCCAAAGATTCATGCCCTTTCCTTGTGGTACAGTTACTGGTAAGAGTTTTCCTTCCCATCCGGATTTCATCTCCCTGGTCCCATTGCGTTTACTGGGGGGGTCACATGACTAGTTCTCCCCACTGAAATGTGAGTGTAAGTAATATCTGGGTCAGGGCAGGAAAAATGAGTGTGTCTTCACCACACTCCTTCCCCTTCTGCCAGCTAGGATGGTGGTGTCATAGAACAGAAAGGGCCCTAAGTCACACTTCTCCCTGGTGGAAGACAGCCGCCCACCAACCAGGAACACCCATTCTGGACTGCTACACGAAGAACAGCTAAGGCTCCACAGTGCCAGGCCACTGAAACTGCAAGATGTGTTGCCACAGATAGCATTACTCTAGTTAACAGAGCTGATAAAATCGCTCTGGGATAAAAACCCCTACTCGCACCCTAGGAGAGCGTCTGTTAAAGAAATACAAATACAAAACAAAACAGGAAGGTGATTCCAGGAGGAATGGGAATAGGATCCAAAGAGTTTAAGAAAATCTGATTCATGTCTTCCAGAAGGAAGAAGCATAAACACAGCCAAAGACTCAGCTGGCAGAGTCACCCCTGACAGAATGTGACCCTTTGACAAGAGTGGACTATGGGGCCTTACGGATGGGGAGGATGAAGAATTCAGATTCCTAAAAAGCATGTTGGCACAACCCCAGCCCCAACCAACGCTTCTCCTGGTGTGGGGCCAGTGGTGCCCACCAATCTCCACGCCTGACTTAGATGGTCCATGAAAGCAGTCAGATTACGAGAGAATGAAGGATTCCTCACTGTAAATGTTCCCCTGGGCCCAAACTCATTAATACCACACCCCTGTTGAGAGTTTACACAGAAAAAACCCTCAGTGTTCCAGAGAAACAGACCCCTGGAGTGCCAAGTCCTTGCGTAATCATGCATTTGGGGTACATTTTCTCTCTAACACAGAACAGGGTGTGGGTGTCTGTATTTGTGTTTTGGAAAATACACAAAAAACAGAACTAAAGATTCCCCTTCATTCTCCAACACCCTCCCTTCCCCACCCTAGGAGAAATCCCATCAACCCTGAAGCTAGTCTGAAATGAAGCAATTAAGAACAAGAGCCACAAAGAGCAGCGGCCTCTCTGTTACTGAGGAGGCTGCCGTGGCAGGTCACACACAAAGCAAACCCTTCCTCCTTGTCCTCACAGTCCTGGCAGGGACCCAGAAATCCACTGAACAGTCACCCTACTATGCCCCAGGTTCTCCACAGAAACCCAAACAAGGAACTCAGAACTTCTCATTTCTTTCTGTGGAAGGCACAACAAACACTGGGTTCCAAACTTCCCAAAACCCTCTGCCATCTATCTGCCCATAAGGTCCAATCTTTGTTCTACTTCTTCTCCTCCAAACCCTGCCCTCTTCTCTGATCCTAAAGCCAGCACCCAAGTCCAAGCCCTCTGTACCCCAACTCTGGGACCCTGTAATAGCCTCCTAACAGGCTCCTCAGTTTCCGGTGTTTCCCCTTCTCCAGTCCACACTAAACATTGCTTCCTCTGGTTGGTCATGTCACTCCCTTGTTCAAAAACCTTCAATGGATCCCTACTATCTAACAAAAGCTACACTCCTGACTCTGGTAGTCAAGGACACTCACGATTGGCCTCTATTTTTCTTCCTTTTTCAAGGTTATCATTATTCATGTTCTACTTTCATGGATTTGCTCATGGTATTTCTTGTACCTCTCTATCTCCAAGCATTTAAATTCTACTGGTTCACATTCTAATTAAATGTACTTTCTCCATGAAGCTTTCCTTGATCCTGCCAGCTTAACATTCCCTCTCAACTATGAATTCAGTCCACACTTAATCTAAATCTGCGCTGTAACATCACAGTGGCCACCAGCCCCATGTGGCCGCTGAGCACTTAAAACATGGCCAATGTGCCTGAGAAACTGAATGCTTAATTCTGCTTAATTTTAATTAATTTAAGTATAAATTTTAAAATTGATGCTCAAGATTCAGTTACTAGAAAACTTTTAAGTATATTTAGAATAACTTGGGTATGCAAGTCCAGTTTTTCAACTGTAAATTCTGTGAATACAGAATATTTCCAATGAACATTTTACATTCAAACTGAGAGGTTTTGTACATGTAAAATACACACCAAACTGAAAGACTTGGTATTTAAAAAAGAATGTAAAACAGCAGCTTGTTAATAATCTTTTTATATTGATGATGTGTTAAAATGATAATATTTTGGACATAATGGGGTAAATAAAATATATTAAGATAAATTTCACTGTTTGGGATTTTTTTTTTTTTGTTGTTAAATATGGCTATGGGAATATTTAAAATTACACATGAGCCCGGCCAGTGTGACTCAGTGGTTGAGCATCAACCCATGTACCAAGAGATCGCTGGTTCGATTCCCAATCAGGGTGCATGCCCAAGTTGTGGGCCAGATCCCCCGTGCGGGGCATGCAGGAGGTGGTCAATTGATGTTCTCTCTCATCAATGTTTCTATCTCTCTCCCTCTCCCTTCCTCTCTCTCTAAAATCAATAAAGAAAAAAAAGTTACACATGGGCTACTCAGTGCTGATCCAGTGCTTTCCTAACATTCTGTGTTAGCATCTGTGACTGTGGTTTATCTTCTCTTAACATCTCTCTAGGGGGCATTTTCCCTCATCTGTCTCTATATTAGTAACAAGAGCAGCAGCAATAGTAATGTAATGAGATTTATCAGGTGACAAACATGCTATAAGCATTTACATCTACTAACTCATGTCATCCTGACAATAGTCCTATGGGTTGGATGCATCACAATCCCCGTTTTGCAGATGGGGAGACTGAGACCCCAAGAGTTTAGCTGATACTTAGGAATTTGAGGTAATTTGCCTGAG